CTTTGTATTCCTCTCCAATATTTTCTTGTTTAAACTCTTCTTGAATTTTTTCAAATAAAAGAATGCGCTAGGGTAAGCACCAACGATTGCGTACAGACTTTGGCACAGATCCAACGATGTTGATAACAAGGGACATAGCGTGATTGCATCCTTAACAAATAGCTTATTGCAATGGGCGAAAAAATGAACATATATGGCGTTTTTTGCAACTGAAGCTTTAAGCTTTCTTGCTAAAGATTTCATTGCCGCTGCTCCATCGAAACCCATCGCTGCCATCTTGGCGCCTTCCAAGCTGGACCTGAGAAGGATATCTTCCATGTACTTAAAAAGGCATCAGCTGATAGATCCTCACTGCATTAAAAAATGCCAACAAAATCTTCAGAAATTTTGTATTCATCATCACACATTCTCAGTGAGAATGAGAGTTGTTCTTTCTTGGAGACGTCAGATGATTCGTCGGCAAGAATCGAGAAGTCTTTTTCTCTCACATTTTCCAACAAGTTTCGTCAGGCGTTCAAAAACTAACAGTTGCTGTTGTTCAACTAGAATATCATGCGCTGTTGTATAATGTTTCTCGTTTAGAAACAGTTCCAAACCCTTGTCATGAATCGCTTTGTCTAGGTTAAACTAGTATATGTTAGAATCTAAATCTGTGTTACCTCTTATAGCAACGCCTTGACGCAACCAATGTCTTCATTGTTTGAAGATGGGAAATAAGCCCTTGTCTTCGCAGCTTTTGTGTGTTAATATCAAACAAGCGAACAGTTTCTGCGATGCCACTGGTATGTCTCTTTTTTGCAACCATTTTAGCGCAGGAATCTTTGTGAAAAAGGCTACCTTCATGCTCGGAAAATTTTTCGGCACCTTTTTTCCAGTTATCAAACCCTTCCCCACATTTGAAATTGAATGTCCCTGACCCTTTCTGTGTGTCACTGTTTTCAGTGCATGTTAAACAAAACGCCTTTCGCCTTTCCCTGTTGAACGCAAGCCAATCATGCTTTTGAAACCACTCTCTAACAAAATACTGTTGATTCTTTTTGCTACTCAACCTGTCCTGGGTAGTAAAGTCTTTGGCAGCTTTAACCCAGGTTTCTTGTACTTCCACGTTTTTGTCTCTTCCCATTTTCATTTCATCTTCAGCTTCTGTCTCTGCCTCTGGTGCATTTTTGTTCATAACAGGCTCCTCAGGACACTTCAATTGATGTTTCACTGCTTGTACTGGGTCTCGCAAATAAACTTATTTGGGACTGTCCAGGTTGACAGGTCCACAGTCCGCCTTGAGGCAGACACACACATGAGTTGAAATATCACTCCGAACGTCCTCCAAAGGGAACTCGTAATTATATATTTTAAATCACTGAGATTTAAAATACACCCCCCGGATCCACCAAACTCTTTCCCCATCCCTTGCCAGTGCTTCCACCATCCCTTTCCCATGCTTCCCACAACATGGAAACACAAACCACACAACCCATTTTTCAAACGAGACCCTAACCTGGACCGTAAGGGAACCCTAACCCCAACCTTAAACAAAACCCAACCCCACAACCACATACAACTGTATTTTTTAAAAAAATAGCACCCCCCCCAACACCACACCCCCCCCCCCGAAACAAATTCGGCCTCGCTTTCACGATTCACAACCTCAATGTCACACAGCACACTCATTTTTCATTTCTTGTACATTAACACAAAGCAAACTTCTGTAAGCATCTGGACGCTCGCTTTTCTTCAAATTGAAGGGTAAGTAAGACCGTTTAAATCTCTTACATCTGTAATTCCTAACATAACAGTTCCCGGGGCACCAGCCAGCCGTATTAGATATCATATTTACAGAGATGGGCCCAAAATAAAACAACAATTCGGCACGCTCCCATTATAATTTCACTAACAGGGAATACACATGGGATTGAATACCACCCTTTTTCACAAAATCACCACACATTGGGAATGTTTTATGGAACCAATCAATTCAGAGAACAGGAACCAATCGATTCAGGGAACCACATTCATGATATTATTATCACGATTCAAGGCTATAATCTGCAGAGTTGGTATAGACCACAGTTGTATTTGTACTTATATTAAAAATAACATTAATTTCACCATTTTAGAAGATCTACAAGATCAAAATTATGAGGTTCTTTGGATAAAGTTACGGCCCACGCAACTCCCTAGGGGATATAGTTCCATTGTTGTTGGAAATGTTTACCATCCACCAAGTGCTAATAACCAGGATTTACTACAATATCTTCTTCATTCATGCCTCTTGTTAATTGAATCGTGCTTTTTCAAAAGTGGAATTATGCTAGCTTCTTCTTTTTTAAAAAAATAAAAAGTTATATATATATTTTTTTCAGCTATTTAAGTTTACAACAATATTTCTCTACTTAGTTAAACCTAATTAAAACTAACCTAATTTACAATAACATCTAATTAGAAGGAATTCATGAAAAATTTTAAGTTACTAAGTTACTATTCAGTTCACAACTCAAAATATTAGCAAAACATAATCTTTTAAATACGCCGGTTTTTTTATTAACTGTCCTGAACATGTCCATATTTCTACCTTTTCTCCTGCCTGACAGTCTACTATTTTTTTTGGACTGCTGTTCTTTCGGTTCTCTATCTTGGGGCATCTCTCTGTCGTCTTCTTTGTCTTCCTCTATTGTTTTCCTAGCCATCTTCCATCTTGCGGCACTCTTCCATCTTGTGTTTCTACTTCGTATGATCTTACACTAACTTTTGCGGAGCGATTATAGAATACCCGGCCACTGGGCGAGCGTTACCTGTTATCATGATACGATGATACGAAGTCAGAATAATACGTCATGTTAGATGTCATAACGCATAATGCTTAAACACTAACGCATTGCACATAACGAAAATGCATTAGCAAGAAATGAACTAAGTTAAGTAACTATATCAACTAAAAATGAATTAACAATGAATTTAATGTGAGGGAGCAATTTTAATAAGACTGGGCAAGGTATATTTTTTAATGATACGATGATACGAAGTGAAAATAATGACGTAATGTCAATGTGAGTGTGAAATTTTAATAAGACTGGGCAAGGTATATTTTTTCAATGATACAATGATACGAAGTGAAAATAATGACGTAATGTCAATGTGAGTGAGAAATTTTAATAGAACTGGGCAAGGTATATTTTTTCAATGATACGATGATACAAAGTGAAAATAATGACGTAATGTCAATGTGAGTGAGAAATTTTAATAGGACTGGGCAAGGTATATTTTTTCAATGATACGATAATACGAAGCGAAAATAATGACGTAATGTCAATGTGAGTGAGAGATTTTAAAAAGACCATAACGTATAAATTACTCTATAACAAACTATTTACAAGTGATGAAATATGTGGCGGATCTCGAAGCAGTCTGAATAAATTACACAGTTGAATTAAAAAACACACCTTAATGTCAACGCTATTGGTTATGGGTTTCAAAAGAATATTTTTGAATAAAAATCTAGCAATGTAATTCGATTTTAAGCTGAAGTAATTTATTCTGAGTATCCCTAGATTCGCCACTGCATAAAATCTTGCATAACAAACGTGAAACGTGTTCATATAGGAGAAGGCGACGCGGATTGTTTGAAAGCCCTGTATGTTAAGACAGGACCGGGAAAGGACAGTATTGCCGTCTTTATATCAAATTGCGTGGGTTGATGCCTCACCTTGTCGCAAACGTCATTTGTTATGGATTGAATAAACTAAAAGATTAATTGAGATGATTTGTCAAGGTTTCATACAGCTAGCCTTTTACAATTACGTTTTAGCAATAAAACATTAGTATTATTTAAGGTGTTTACGATACGATTTACCTGGGAGATGGCGTCCTTTTGTTGTTCCAAATGATTTACCAAAGCAATTGCGCGGTCAAGTGTTTCCTTGCTGATCTCAGTTGGAAAATCTTGCACGTCTTGGCCATGAAGTACTATTTCTGTGGCATGGTGAACATGTGTATAGCAATGGCGATTCGTGGTACGTGGTCAGACTTTTTTGACTTAGGAGGCATTTGTCCTTCAAGGATAGCCGCGTTGACTTCAGCGGCGAATGATGTGTTCATGTCCTGAAACTGTCGTTGCGCGTCGTTTTCAAAGGTATAGTTGTAGGTGTGCTGTTCATGAATGTCATTTATTGTGTTGAATATCTCAAGGAAGCTATCGATCGGCTCTGTCTCAATATAATCGTTAGCATCAGCCTGCTGTTGTGGTGTAGGATGTAGAACCAAAGGAATGGATATGAGAAAGCGGTCAATTAGTCCATGGCCTTGGTCCATTTGTGCGATAAGTTTTGCTGTGTTTTGTATTTGCGTGCAGCCTAGAATTGAGAAGGGAGTTTTCGCAGGTATTTCACGCATCTTTTCCGTGCTGTAGTGGCAAGTGGCTTGTTCTCCAGAAAATAGTTTACATAGCAATTGGACGTTGCCACTGGCAGTTTCATCATCTGACTTTAACAGTTTATTGAGCACGTCATATATTTCTGATGACACAACGTACGCTATCTGCTATCTGCTTAACCAGGGCAGAAGAAGTCGCTCTACCTATAAGTAGATCGTCATCTGGTTTCGTGACTGCCAAGGTAGGTGTTCTCACCCCGTGGTCCACTGCTGCTGATTTTCCAGTCCCCGGATAGCCGACAAACATGGTAAAAATATTTGGTATTTGTTTGTGGTTCCCGATTTTAACTGTGGCTTCGTTCTTCGCAAGGATAAATGCGGTTGTTGTTAAAAGAGTTGGCTTAAAGTAACCAATTGAGCTTCCAAGCGAAATGGCTTTATTCTTTATAAAACGCTCTATGTCGAGACTGAAGAGATTGGTATAGTCGTAGGCAATACCCGAAATGTGTCTCTGAAGAGTTGTCCAAGTCCTTTCATGTGTCCTTGAAACTTTAGTCAAATAGTGCGGTACGGCATGTAATCCCGTAGCATTTGTGTGCTAAAACTTATTTTTTAACTTTTTCGAATTGATTTGAGGACTAACTATAGGAAAATGATGGGGTTCAAATTTTCTTGGTACTTACCTCCCTGCTGTGTGTCAATCTATTTTTCGTAAAATGATCCTGAGGGATCCGTTTTAGTTGGTAATTTCCAAGATGGCTGCCACCATCTGAGAGAAACGGTGAGTGCATTTTACTTTTATTTTTAACTTCACGAATCATAAACAAACGTTTAATATATGCAAGAATATATTTTAATGATCCCTGAGTTAATTATTAAAGTATTTCACCAGGAACTAACAGTGTAGTTGTTAAATCATTGATGAATAAATCTGCATAAATAATGAAATATATTATAAAACGTAGTATAAAACTTTAACACTATGTACTATTATTTATGAGTTCCCTGTTCCTATGCTACTTTCAGAACCCATTATTATTTCTTCACACAAACTTCGAAGAAAACTTGGTGGCCAAAAACTTTGTAAATGGTGTTCTTTCCAAAAATAATGTAATAATGTAAGTTAATCATACCATTTTCAATTAAAAAGCAACAAGTTTGTATTGTGTGTATAATTTTGTGCTATTTCATTTCTAAGTCTAAGATGTGACGAACAGTGACAAGGTACTGAGCAACCATGTCTAATATGGACAGTGTGTGCATAATTTGTAATGAAGAAGCTACCTCAAGCAAAAGACTCGTAAATAATCCTAACATGATTGAAGATCTTTATAATTGTTGTAACGAGCGACTGTCCCTGGGTCAAACTGATGTCAAACCACTTATTGATCGTTTAGCTAGATTGAATGACTTGGATCGTAAAGCTGCATGTTACCATAGTGAATGTCGGAAGCCAATTGTTAATAAGAGTGTTATTGAAAGACTCAGAAATAAGAGAGTCTTGTCCAGTGAATCCATATCATATTCCGTACAAGGTCCTGGGCGCCCTTCCAATGCCGCTACATGTTTTCGGCCAAAACGAACAAAAACCGTCCTCAAGGCAGAGGTGTGTCTGTTCTCGGCCTGTAGCTTTTGTCCTAATGACAGTACAGAAGCTCTCCACCACGTCTCTTCAGACAAAATGGGTGAAAACTTGTTAGAGATTAAGTCAAAAACACAGGATGACCAAGTCAGAATTTGCGTGTCAGAGCTAGAGGATGCTGGCGATGCCTCTGCACTAGAAAAATACTATCACAGAAAATGTTTACGGAATGCTCAGCGCACTTTTAAACCAATAGAAATGTGTTCTGTTAACCAGCTCATACATTCTGCTTGCGAAGAGCAATTGCTTTTATCCGTCCAAAACTCTCTCATCGATGATGATGCAATTCTAAGTATGGCCGAGGTTAATAGTACGTACATATCGATTTTGAACAGGTATCGTGTACAGATTTCTGAGACGGCAAACTACTGTAAGTATCTGAAAAAGCTACTTGCTGAACGCCTACCAAGTGTACAGTTTGTTAAATCTCTGCGCAAAAATGAGCCTGATAGAATCGTTCTTCCAAAAGCAGTTAGCAAAGGAATAGAACTTCGGTCCTCGCTATTGAATAACAATGAAACGATTGGTCGTTTGAAGAACACCGCAGATATTCTACGTAAAGAGATGATGCAACACAGAAACTGGTCGTTCAACGGAAGTTTTAAAGATTTCCAAAACCCTCCACTCCTTCAGTTTTTTCTCAGCCATCTCCTATTTGGTCGCCATGTTCTCAAAGCTTCAGGAATTCGCAATGAAGAAGTGGATAAAACTGTTGATGTGGCCTTGCCAGTTTCTTATCCAGAATTCTCGAAGTGATCGCCAAGTGAAACATCAGCTGAAGGAAAACACTGGTTTTCTGCAGACTACTCAGACGCCCCTCTCGATTGGTCTGCTTCTTGTAATTCATTCTAGAGTGCGCGATAAGAGCCTTATCAACAACCTATCAGAGGTGTACATTGGGAGTAACTAAAAGAAGGTACTTGACCTCGAAAAGCGCATTGAGCAAAGTGTTCTGCACCGGATGAAGGAGACTGGTGGATTTTGCCTGCCTGATTTTGTCAAGAAAGGAGTTAACATCTGGTTCGCGGTAGATAACATTGACCTTTTAGAAGACACGCCAACTGGCCAGAATACATTCCATGGCACGGTGATCGTAATCAATCAGCAGGCGGAAGATGGAGAACCTGTCAACCCACTGCTTGTTATCCCAGACAAGCTTCCTTCGCCGACACAATCCTTTCACATCAATTATCTGCAAGAGCAAATAATCAAACCTAAGCCTTGTCGATTTGAGGCCAGCTTGTTTGGTAAGCGAAAGGATATAATTTCGAATGACTTCTACCATACTTGGGCGCTTGCGAACTATTTTGGTACTGATGACGATGAAATCACGGACAATCGACATGTGGAGATTGAAGATGGATGGGAGATTGAAGAGGGACGGGAGATTGAAGATGGACGGGAGATTGAAGATGGACGGGAGATTGAAGATCAAGAACGTGAAGTCGATAGTGAAATGGCAAGAAATTTAAGTGATTCTATTCTGTCTGTGAATGATCCAATCCGTAAGAGAAAGAAGTTAGCAAAGGAAGACGTTATGCCAACTTGGGCTGCTACTAAATCACTTCTGCTATCCCATGTCTCCCAAAAATGCATCTTGACCAATTCAGAAGTGATTTCTCCACTTTTCAAGACCTCTCCCACAGATTATACAACTCTGCACACTGTGTTGATGTTGACACAGGGAATATCTGCTCATGTGGTTGGTCCTGAGAGAAAAACTCTAATAACACTTGACCTAGACCTTTATAACCGTGCCCTCCAGATTCAACAGACAGTGGGTAACACTAACTGGATCCTTCGAGCAGGCGTTCTTCACATTGTGTTCGCTGCACTGCATGCCCTTGGTAAAACCATCGACGGTAGTGGCATCGACACCTGTGCTATTGAATGTGGTATATACACATCTGCAGCTCTTCTCAGGATATACAGTGGCAAGGCTTACAAACGAGGTGTTGAGTACTACATTACAACTAGCTTGGCGATCATGATGATGAGGTTTGAAACAATTTTTTCGGCACAGCTACCCGAAAATATTCGTGTCCAATGTCGTGCGTTAAAGAAGGCTCTCCACTAACGCAGTCCAGAAATGATAGAGGTCTACGACCACATCCAGTCATGGTACTCTGCAAATATAAAACCACATGAAGCTAAAGAAGACAACGGAGATCTTGCCCAGTTTCTCATGCAGTACCTTGAGCAGGTGGACAGTCTCTTACACATTATCAATGCTTGCCGCTCAGGTGATTGGGAAGGTTACTTAGCTGCGTTAGAAAACAACATCAAGTACTTCTTCGCCCATGATCTCCTAAACTATGCACGCCTTATGCCTGTCCACCTTGCACAGATGAACGCTCTGGAGCAGAACGATCCAGTGACATGGCAAGCGTTAAAGGCAGGAGAGTTTGTTGTTGCAAAATCAGAGATTCCCTTCACCTGCCGACCAGACCCTTGAACAAAAGATCAAAGGACTAAAACGTCATGGCAGAATGGTAGGATTAAGTCTGGTCTGGACCGACTAGTTACCACCACACCTCATCTTGCTCGGATCGTTAAGCAGTACCTCAACAGTTTTCCTAAAGAATCCAGTTCTTCTCAGCGCAATGAACACTATCAGCTTTCGGGATCTGTTTCTATACGGTCCAGAGAAAACGCTCTAAAGCTCTGTCACTCCATCGAATTGCATTGTGCTGGAAACCCGTTTAAAGAAAGATCTCCTTTGAAGAGCTTGGTTTCATCAGTTCTTGTGCCAGAGGATGCAAAAGACGATATTCTGCACTTTGGTGAGAAAGGTCAGAAACGCTTTGAAGAGTTTGTCCGTGAAAGATTGCTGCCAACATCAAAACTCTCCGTTTGGGACAAAATGAAGAAATTCAAACTAAAGAATTTCTCCAACTGGATGGCAAAAGCTAAGGTCCGCGTCGGTGACAAGGTGTTCAAATTACGCGAGGAACGTGAATTACTCAGCAGATTTCTTATTATCCAACGAAACCGCCCGGAGCTTGTTCCCAAACTGGAGGAAACTATTGGAAAATATGAGATGTCAGTGGTTCCACGCTCGCTGTGCGCTGTGGATGGGTCTTTATATATTCCCACTAACAAAGCGAGTCTGATGCATGCTTTTGAAGAAGTCAAAGCTGACTCGCCACTTGAATCTGCCACTCCTCTCGATATAGCACCAGTAACAGGCCGCTTACTGCGAGTTCTAATTGTTGACGCCATGGCTGTGGTTCAGAGTATGAAGAAAACACCGACCATGAAGAATCTTTCTAACCTACAAGAAGCGTTCATCAAGCGTATCAAGGGGATGGTTGTTTGCTATGATGAATGTCGAGTGGTCTTTGACTGTTATCTAGATCAATCGCTGAAAAACAAGACCCGTCAGAAGAGAGCAGCAACGTCCATAGAATTCCAGATCCATCCAGAGATGAAGCTCACCATGCCTCTCAAGGAGATTTTGTCTTCATCAAAGACCAAGAGTAGCCTGACATCGATGTTTGCTCAGGGCTTGCTAGAACACTTTTCCAACAACAGTGCATGCAAATTAGTCGTGGTGTATGGCACTAAGATCAAAGGGCAAGATTTTGAAGAAGACCATTCAAAACTTTACCAGCGCTACGGTGGGCACTGTTTCGTTCCAAAAATTTAGAGGGAGAAATGTTACCACCAACTCGGTTGCATTATTACCCCACATTGTACGTGCAAACTACATATGTATGCGTGATAAATCATACCCTGTCAATTGTCCATCTCTTCCACCTATTGAGGAAAATGGGTGGAGTTTAGACGGTGGAGTTTACGTTCCCGTGAGGTGCCTGACACCTCCCGCACCTAAAGCTGTGATTGAATTAACTAAATGTTTGTGTAAAACAGAATGCAAAGGAAGATGCAGTTGTTTCAAGAATGGTCTTCCTTGCACTCCTCTCTGTAAATGTTATGTCGGTAATTGTACAAATGTAATAAAGGACGATGGACACGAGGATGACGATGATGGACAAGAGGATGACGATGATGGACAAGAGGATGACGACGTTGAATAAATCGTCATGTAAGTTTAGTATCAACAGTTGGAAAGATTTTATTCATATACATGAGATAATGTAAGCAGTTTTTCAGATTTCATGTTAAATAAAAGGGCCATATTTTCGTTATGTTTTTTATATTCCTTAAACACTGCACATCATATCGCATGGATCAAAATGTGCTTTACTTTACTTTACTTTATTTTTTGGTATAACATCAAAAACACTAAAATAAATTTAAGATTGTAAGTATTGGTTCATATTATAGCGGAGAGCAAGCGCAGAAATCATACAGAAAAGACTCACACCCCTGTGGATGGACAAACAGCCGGAAAATTTGAACCCTATCATTTTCCTATAGTAAGATGCAAACTCAACACATAAACGCCAAAAAATCAGTTTTAGCACGTAAATCCTACGGGAGTTGATTTAATGACATGCCGTACCGCACTAAAAGGATTGCCTGCCATAACTATTTATTTTGTAAGAGCACGGTTGTAGATGTGACCAGTTCAGAGCGGTGTGTGGAAATATGAAACGAGAGCGTGGCATCGTTAAACAGAC